ATATATATATGCGAGCTCGCCGTCACAAGCCTCTAACGACGATGAAGACAGCAAGTATGAGCGATACCGATCTATGGATGTCTCTGTCTACCTATTTACGTCATCTTGTGAATAGTTGATCACCCTCTTTTTCTCTTTAGATGGGTTCACTATTCAATTGTTTCATAACATACAATTCTTCTATTAGCATTATTATTTATGATTCTCATTGCACTGTTTTCTAATGCTGGGCAAATTGTAAACTATTATATATATATATATATATATATATATATATATGGACGTACGGTCAATGGAGGATTGGAAAACGAGGTAATAAGAGATGACAAAGAAGGGATTTCGGTGAAGCGTGATCGTCACGATTATTATTATGATGATGATGATGATGGAAAGGAAATTGAGGTTAATGCGACGATAATATATCTATTTTTTTTTTTTTTTTTTCTCTATATGCGACACTTGCTCGCAACATTTATTACTGTTGAATTCATATACATACAGATATATATATACACACACATGGATTATCTTCGTATATTTTTTGTTAAATTAGTTGATAGTCTCTCTTTTGATAAATAGTAAACACATATAATACGACAGGGATATGATGACGGAGGAATTACTCTACGAAAAATCTCTGAAGCAATTCTTCAGATGGACATGGAAGAGCTGGAACGACGATGAACTTGACCGGCATTAGAATGTTTTTATTTTGCAGGGCCGTCCGGATGTCGGATTTTGCAGCATTTCGAGCATTTACGATTCGTATGACCGTATTTTTTTTAAAAAAACACAAATTGCATTACATCTATGCTGCGAAATGCGACAATGGACTCGGTTCGAGGTCATGGCGCCGAAAGGCTGATTGGGACATGATTGGATCAGGATTTGATGGTTCGCAGAGAGTCGTTCGGATGTCAAAAGCCTTATGGGACGCCGCAAGTGTTCAACGTCTACTAGCTTGACTTCGGCGTGGGGTGCGACTTGTCTTGACGAAGCTGTTTGTGAACTTGGCCTTGAAGTCGCATAGCTTTGATCCACCGCTGAGCTCCCTGAAAAGGACAACCGTTGACAGCTCTCTAGTTTTGATGGTTTCGGTTTGTTGGCCCGCCGTTGTGAGAATCCAAACGAACCAAATACCTCAGCTAACTGCTCTATATAGAGAGTTGGCCAATGGTACAACATCTGTACCTGTGACCAGACCTGGTCTTTCGACACGATATACACATCATACAATATGAGAAAAAAATAAATTATTAAGTTAAATCAATGAAATGATATGACATGAGATTGACTGCTACGCGCTAAAGATGAAATTTGTTACATTACTAAGTAATGTAAGTATAATAACTTGTAATTCCATTTCGAGCATCTTTGTCGCGTTCACGTATTGTACTGCCACTTTTATTGTCCAGTCATTTGTTTATGTACAATAAACACTTAATATTATTATAGATCCATTAGTCCCTCGTTTTCTCGCGGTGATACGTTCGATTAAGGTATGAACATGGGCGGCACAAGACAGGTGAACAGCAATAGCAAATCAATACATTGCTAAAGAATAATTAGTTACTTTGTATTATAAATACAACGTTACAATGAGGGCATGACCACGATCACCGTCACTTCTACTTACCAACAGTCATAACGTCAGCTACTAAACATATATAACTAACTATAACTGTAAAGCGAGACGGACAACAAAAACGTATCTCACTCACCTCTTCCTGCTAATCGCGGTAGGTTATATATATATATATATATATATATATATATATATACATACACACGTATTTTTTGGATAACATTACTGTTGTGAAGACAAATGAGGATAAAAATGATGAGTACGGAAACGATTTTTCGTGCGATTTCTTTTGAACATAAATGTGTGCGTGTAATTATCATACAAGATGAGTACATGAAGTACATGCCGATGGCACAATCATAAGAATATGTAGATCTATGATGAATTATTATTATTATTGAGCAAATTCAGAAAAAATCACTTATAATGACAACAACGCCTGGCATGTAGCGGACGCCCCCGTGGAATAACAGGAAAACAAGAAAGAGATCATTCTGTATGAGCGTGCGTGCGTGCGTGCGCGCGTGCCTGCCTGCCAGTCAGGCATTTCTCGAGTGTCGAGATGGACAGGTGCGCAGAGATGGCAAAGTGAACGAATGATATAATAAATTTATACACATATATGTATGTGATTTGCGTGCACGAGGTTTACGACAGTTCATGCTGTCCCTATTGTTGCTGCTGTCCCATTGCTTTCAGCGATTCTCGATTCGTGTTTCAATTGTCCACTACTTACCGATCGTCGCCTGTAGGTCCATGTGTACTAAATATGTGTCAGTTTTATCGAAGTTGGACTACTTCGAAATTCTCAGACAATTTGCTCGCGTAGAGTGGCTGCGTTTGCGGTTGTGATTGTGTTTTAGGATCCTGTCTGCTCCACGGTGGTAATCAGGTAAACGTAAGTAGACGAGGCATAAGAGCAGTAGTGGAAGTATTGGATTTACACTCAGAAAAAAAAAAATTAAATAAACTGGTATCGACTAAACAAACGCTTGATTGCATGCTTGCTTGATTGGCTGATTGACGACAGGAACGAATGCAGTCATTGTACGGTACATGGAAGAGACCTTACTGAAAGTGCAGTTGAAGACGCTTCCAATATAAGTAAGTGATATAGAACAACATAAGTGAGTATCAATGCGGCCTCGTGGCGGGCAGAGCAACGTGTGAAAAATCGTGAGCCGAACTTCAGAGATCCGAGATCATAGTGCAGGCCAAGGTAGGAATTGTGAATAGCCGTAATGAGTTACTCTAACAAATGGGTGCTCGGGGTACAGGGCATCAGTGTCAGAATCGTCATTGACGTGACCAATATTTGTGGCTAAATGTACATGCTCTATAAGAGGTAGTAATGAGATTTTTATTCAATGCTAGTGTGTCTTTTTGTGTGCGTATGTGTGGGCGTATGGGTGTGCGTGCGTGCGTGCGTGCGTGCGTGTGTGTGGGCGCGAGTGACACACGTGTGAAGTAAGCAGTAAGCACGTTTAAAATTTATATTTAAATTATTTTACAGTTATAAATTTTTCATTCTCCTCACAAAATGTTGTGTACATTTGCTTTTTTACCGAGAAGCAACGGTATAACAACGTCTGGGCGCGAAAAGAAACAGGATAAGCAAGAAGATCGAATCTGGATGTCTCGTGTGAAAAGCGTGCTATAGCAAGTAAAAAAAAAAATAGAATTAACGTTCTACTACAATGAAGGGCAGAGTTGGAACGGCACGATAAGGCTACAGAAACAATTTTAGGACAAATCGGGAAAACGAAGATAAAATAGGCAATTTAAATAACTACTCCTCAACTAAATGTCGACGACTAATTGATGAGAAGAAGAAGAAGAAGAATAATAAACGGATAGTGACACGTATGCGGTTGCAAATTATAGGGGAAAGCGAGTTTAAAATATGACTACGGTTTAATAACAGAGGATAATTAGAATAGGAATAATTATGCGAACAACGACAAGATGATGATCAAGTTGAACACGAAAAAGGTGTCAATAACTGGGAGTGGAGGGCGATCACTTGTATGTAAGGCGTGTGAATAACATAAAAGCCCCAGGAAGAATAACAATAATAACAAAAATAGACACAGCACCTTAGAGGCGAGTCCCGGCCGCAGACGCAATGTCCCATGTTCTACCCTGTGAAGCGGTATGCTCGTCTCGATGACGAATACAGAAAACAATGACAAATATGACCATTGGTGACGATGACACAGAAGAATAGATATGGAAACGTAGTTATAATACAATAGAAGCGGTTGGTGTCTACCGCTTCAACCCCAACATGGGGACTGGTCGCGTGCTCCTCCCGATCATATGTCTAGGCGAGAGTAAATAACAAAAAAACAGGTGGCACATCGATCCGTACGTAGTTCGTTGACAAAGCCCGCCTATGATTATGACAGTAATGCGGAAGCGGGCGTTAGCCGTTTGGCTTAATGTTGGCCGTATACATACACTTAAAGGATTGGAAAATACTGATGGCGCCGATGATTATCATTATTATTATTATTCGAAATGGTAAAATGATTGTGAAAAGAGCGGAAGGCCAGATGTCGAGAAAACGGGGAAGAAACAGAACGTGAGGTAATTGAGATAATAATGGTATGTAATGATAACGAACTGATAACGTGCTGATGATACCGATGATGATGATCCTAATGAAGGGCGATGAATGATGAAAGCGCTAATATAAATAAAGTCACCTAGTTTGGTACTACTCAGATTCTACGTGTCTTTACTTCTTTGTTTGTTGCGCAGCTATGACCACTGGTTACCGATAAGTGCGGAAGTATACTGCTACTGGATGTACTATGTGACACTTGCACAATAGAAAATATAGGAGTCGACCAGAGATATTTGTAATCTACCAGATATAATATTCTATTCTATTAGAACGATTTTTGTTATGTGTTGTGGATGCTATCTACGTGTCCCCCGCTGCCATTCAGGAACAACCCCATTTACAAAGAGGCTACTAAATAACGTATGCCTGTTGCTGTTACTCTGTACGTACGTATGTATGTAGGAGCATATGTGTTTCATTAGATTAACGAAGTCTAATTAAATAAAGCTCTCGGTCCAGGGAAAATTTACGGTGTCGAAATAGCATCAGACGCTTTTGTCCAGTATCATCGATTGCTAGATGCCTATGGCAACATGCCAACTTTGGAGCAATGGCTAAATAAATGTCACCAATGGTAGCTATGGAGATACTCAGTTTGTCAACCTGGCTTTCGAACTTTAGTCGATAAAGGTAAAAACTCGAACTTTTGCCGCTCATTAAATATTGTTTATTGTATAGATAGATAGATAGATAGATAGAAAATATTAAGCATGCTTTTAGGCATTTTTTACTTTTTTACTTACACATTTTTTACAAATTCTAAGCATAAAGTAAAGCATAAAGCATAAAACCGAGCAAGGCACAGTGGCGTCAACAACTTAAAGTACAAGTTGTTGACGCCACTGTGCCTTGCTCGGTTTGGAGAATGTATTTGTATGCCGTCGGCATTAAATTTGCTTCTCTATATTCAACTTATCGAGCCACTAGTCTATCAGTCGAAAGACCGCTGAGCCAGCACAGAAAAAAAAGACAAAAACAAAGCTAGAAACAGGAAAGCATAACCTCGCTCCTTACGCGTGTCGAACGCCTGGCATTTAAGAACACCTATAATTTTTATGCATATTTCGCGTTTACCTTATAAAGTAAACGCATTTTACGTCCACGCGGCATCATGGTCTACTCTAGATCCATGCATGCATATATTTATATCACCATGGTACAATATAAGTGTACACGGATATGGTGTGCTCTTTTTTCCGTATGCGTACTTTACGTTCACCCTCAACGTTTGCATTCATATCAACTACGCGATCATTTACCGTAAGTGGTTTTCGTTTACGCAGCCTTATTTGAACCACGTATTTTACGTTAGCTTGTTTTGCGTTAACTTCGTTCACTGACAGACGGAAAAATCTTTACCAGTCAACAATTGTTTTCCAGGTTTCAGCATTGAAATCATCTAGCGTATTCTAACTCGCGATTTCTAAAGCGATTTCTTCTCTTTCTATCTCGATGAGCGGTATCACCTTACCGTGATTCTTTTAAGTTACTGTTCTGAAGACACTTACCTAAGCCATCGGTCGAAGTTTCATCTTGGAGTCGGTGGAGCACGTGTCTCATGCCAGAGAGCCAGCCCGTCTGCAGCTTTTGAGAGTAGTCGGGGTTGACGATAAATATGGAGAAATCTGATAATGTATGTGAGGCAGTTTCATAAATGTCATCAAAGAAACGTATGCAGGATCACTGGCAAGCAGGACTTAGCATACTGCCGAGTCCTGATTGTTTTATTTTGCAGCCCGGCATAGAGAGAGAATAGGACACCTTTGACATACGACAAAGCTCGCTCTACTCGTAAACATTTACGTATAAGATCAAAATAAATTCAATCCTGAATATATTGGGATATCTTGGATTTTACACCTGGTGAAGTTTGTATATTCTAATTCATCCTAAACACGGCTCCTACGACAAAAAGTACCTTGGTGAAAATTACGTATTGAGAATATTTTATTCATGTCATTACTTAGCGTTTTATTTAGTATTCAAGGCTATTTCAAGATTTTGGAGAAAATCGTCAATCGACGAATGTTTTTTTCTGAGGTCGAATAACATAACGAGGACGAAATATTGGGAAATAAACTAATTATTGATCAAAAAAAGTAATGAAGAACTCACTTAGGAGCAATGCTATATAATTATATGCGTATAGCATTTCAATGTGAACGAAAAACTATACTAATCAGGGTGTCCTTTATTTTATGCGTAATTTATCAATTAGCCTTACAAAAAAAACGTTTTCTATCAAAAGGCCAAGCACATTTATGCTTGATAGTGAGTAGGAGTAACCGAAAGCATTCATTATCTTTCCAATTTAAGATAGCTGAAGCTGAGAATAGGCCATGCATTGTCCATAAGAGTATCTGTAAAAATAGTATAAATGCTGCACTGTACAACTTACGCAGAAGTAAATGACCTTACTGCAAGTGACGATATCCGTGGCTCCATAGCATTTGGAAGGTAACTTCGTATACCACAATGGATACATAAGTTATAATTTTTTGTGTCTCCTTCAAAATGCTTGGACTAGTATTCTTTGCTGATAAACGGCGTGAGTTCAGGAAAATATGTTAGCGTATGGTAGCTCGTCCGTGTGAGGGTGCAAAAATAGCGTGTTTCCTTACGCCACGTAAAGAGGTGTAAGTCCGAATCCGCGCTGAAAGGATCTAATTTTCTCATAATCGCAGTTTTTTCATCTCTGCAATGTTCTTACCACAGTGCTGTCTTTCGCGAAAAGGCAAATTTTAGAGCTTCAGCGGTTGCATGATGAGTTTCCTGTTCGTTATTAGGGCTGATGTGTGATGTCCGAAGTACGTGTCCAACCATGGCTAACAACCACAGAACAAGTCTCCCCACCGCTACCAAGGTTCGTTCAAACATTAGCTCAAGCTTTTTTACCGTCGGGAGAGAGGATCGTTTGTTTTCCGGCAAGATATACTTGAAGGTCCTAATCCCGCGAATCCCCTTCTATGATCATCAAGTCTGAGGATTCGGTCAGCACAAAATTATTAGGTATGTCCAAGTGAATGATAAATGATCTGGATGCGGTCATTTTTTGGCAGGATGTAGCAGAATCGCTAAGAAATAATAGTATTGCTAACGCTGTGTCCGTTAAGCACAAACTTTGTCGTACATCGTCCATATGTCAAACCTAATCGGTGTTATGCAAAGCTGAAAAATATAGTTTACAGGCTTTTGTCTTAGTAGATCGTATTCGGTCGTATTGAGTCGTATTCATGACGCGTATACCGTAGAATCTGCTTAGTCTTTACCTTCATCCACACGTCCGTACGGTACAAGCGTTCCATTCAAACCGCTTTACGAATTGGCCAAATGTTCTTTGAAACTGCGAAAGATAACCGAATAAAATTTTATATGAACCCCATATATTTGATCAGAAATATCCAGTACTATCAGACTGAGAATTTTATCCCAGATTCGTCTGCTGGTTCAGTACATAATAATAATAATAACAATAACTACGCTGATTCACAAAGAACAACATTAGCGTTGCTTAACTGTTAACGGTGAATAACAGAACCCGTAGCGTCAACTGAAGTTGAACTCTTTACTCGACCAGAAAGTAAGTAAAGTGAAGATTCCTAGGCCGTTAAGTGACTTTTGCCTTTGCATCACTCCTCCCGCCCGCTGACGGTATCTTCTAGACGTGTGTTGGTTTTCCAACAATGCGTGAGACACACTTTAGCTGTGGAGACAGCCTCTTATCGTTAGTTTCGAGACCTTCTGCAAACTTCTCGATGCGATAAACTTATTGCAGGCCAGCAAAGTGGCAGATAGCAAAGTGCCGCGTCCAGGCCACGCAGAAAATCAGAAATGCCAATTTGCGCTACAAATTTACTTCTATAGCAATGGATATACTCAATTAAATATCTCAAAATTAATAATATAAATACGCTGTTTACTGTCGTTCAACTCAAATATTTTCAGCCTACTAAAAATAGATCCGGTAGATTTACTATTATAAACGTATTTATATAACAATTTCTATAGGGTTTATTCAATAGTGCGAGTACTTCGATTTCGAGATTTAGCAACAGATCACTGGTCCAAGTTCAAACAAATTACGAAGTCTCGGCTAGCCGCTGCGACTAACCAGATTGGCCTGATCACAAAGGCCATACCTTTATGAAACAAAAGTAAAAGACTTATATCAGCACTCCGCTGATGGACTACATAAGCTACTAAAGCATGAGGCTCAGATTAGGCGTACGTAAATACAACGTCGTCACGATCAAACAACAAAAAAAAGGCTAAATGGGACCACCAGAAATGATCTTGCGCGAGTCACACAGAGATGCGAACCGTTTAGGGCTTGGTTAGCCCCAATGAAATCTCGAAGGTGAACCGGATAAAAGGACAACTTTTAAAATTATATAAACGCTTTACGAGTGAAACCTTTTTTTGTGCAAAGAAGGCATTGACACTTCAGCAAATACTTCACTGTAGAAAGAGAAAAATACATTTCAGCACAGTGAGGAAATAAATGTATCTACGTAAAACAGCAAAGGCGTTTAACTCGTGTAAAACTTTACTCTTAAATGCTTATTCTATACAGATAGCGCTAGTTTCCGGCATACTAAGTAATCATAGAGTGTAACTCTAAACAATAGTCAAAGCTTCGGGCTAGAAATCGTCTCCTTTTGCAGAACACTTTCTTTATGACAAAGCTTGATACTCACGATGGCATGTATACCATGTATTCTTAGACACCTCATACTCGGATGGCTGCAAACGCAGCCATCTTGACAGAATCGAGCAGTTCCAGGGCAAACATTAGATTTAGGGTTAGTAAACTAACAGATGCAGAAATCTTTTTTCCTAACTAAAAACCATAGGTCACGGCCATCCTGGCAGGTTCTTTTTGCCATCCGCTCCTGTGCATGCGCAAAAAGGAAAAATGTAATTGTGCTCGTTGCTGAATAGTAGTTGCATGATGAATCGAAACTGAAAAATACCAAGTTAAGCGATTTTAGTGCTTCGTAAGTTGAAATCAAACTTCGAAGCCTGCCAGTGCCGAAATGCTTCTTTCTACCGAGCTCCCCTTTGGCTAGAGGACTATAGATTGATTCTTCGGACACTGCATTAGACATGTTCTATATTACCTTAGCTAAATACGAATTTATCGATCGATTAACTTGGCCGATAACTTTTTGGCGTCGGAAAAAATAGAGACTCGTCACTGATGGGAGGGTATCGGCAACGGCTTGCCCATTTTTTCTTTATCTTCTTCGTTTATTTGGACGTCAGGTGGGCGTATCGTCGCCTTTGTATGGCAGACGTAGCCATTAATACGTAATGTTTTCTTCAATCGGTCTCTACATAATATAGATGTTTATCCTATAACAGTCCCACTTCTATTGATGGCACCTTACGGTTTGCGTATTCCTGGACCTCACACGGTGCTACATCTAGAAGGTGGATTTGAGGGAGGGTTAACACGTAATTTAAATAACACACGCTCTTAATTACTGACGTCGCGGCAAAAATATTGGTCTGATTAGCCTCCGACTGATCAACAGGCCGCCACATCATGTAAAATTAATCCCAAAAAAGTTGCGAAAATCTATATAATAAATGCATATGTCTGTGTTCGGCTCTCGATAATGTGCCTCGTCATTGCTACTTTCGACTAGTGCCAGTGTTATTGTTACAATTAAAAATACCGCTTCTCCTTTACGGTTCATTTAAATCATAAAACTATGTATTATAGGTAGCGATCTGATCGCAGTCATTCGTCTCATTTACTATACAGTACAACTTCTGCCGCGTTTCCGAGGCACCCATTACATTCTCACATACGAGCTCATTCCTAAGGACGCAATGATTCCGGATTCTCGGTCTGTGCATCCGGTAATAAACGGGCGGACGCCATCATTACCACCAGTGCTACATCTAGGAGAGTTCCCTCTTCACTGCTTATTGACATAAATGACATGGTAGCGAGAATTAGCATCTAGAAGATCGGACGCAGGTCATCCGCTTCTGTGGGCATGCGATCCGATAAAAATGAATGCATTCTGATTGATCGATTGCGTCTTGTCCATCCTGCCTAGCCGGCTTTTGGCCACTAACTGACCTACGACGTGAGTTAGCAGTTTGTAGGTTACATGCAATATTTATGGCTTTACATTGTATCTATGGGTAGCTGAGATGTTTGCAGCTGTGGAAAGAGCACGTGAGTGATGAGACATAGACCTGGGCTGGGGGTTTAGCCCACATCTGTACGCTGTTGGCTAGTTATAATTTGCTAGCATTAGCAGACTTTACACCGTCGCTGCTAGGGGTAAGCTATGGTAACAGTTAACTGTCAAGATTCATCGATCCCTGAAGGCCCATCTTTTCATGGTCAGGTAATAAAACTGAAAAGTCGAGCTGGTCATTGTTGAATAGAACTTTAAATTTCCACAGTGAAGAAAGATGTATATATCATCATTTGAACCGTCTATGATATTCATATGAGGGCATGTGAGAATCCGTAATTACTACACATATCAGTCGAACAATTATTAACGACTTTAGACCTCGTAATAGTGTTTCAAATAACTGAGCGTCTATTCATTAAATTGTTTGCCCTAAACTACACAGAGCCCTACAGGGGGCGCAAAGCTCGAGCGCTCGTTTTACCGTTTTAAAAACGAGGCAATACAAAACGGGAGACACAGTGTCAGCCCCAAAGGTGCAACGCCTTTTAAGTACCGTAAAGGCCCTTCTGGGCCTTTTCTATCATACCTTTTTATTTATAATAAGTGAAACCAAGAAAAATGAAATCACTCACATAAGCAAATCTATGCATCTAACTTTATACCTCTATGTTTCAAGTTCTAGGTCTGGTATAGCTTTTAGGCAGTCTATAAGACGACTTGCTCCCAGGAAGAAATGAAGTGTGGCCGGGTCGGAACCTATATCACAATGTGTCAGTAAGGTTAGAAAAAGAATACGTTTAAGTTACCAATACAGCGAAATATTGCTTTGGCTACAGAAACAAATTAAACCTTAGTTAAGGCGCAACTGCTGCATTCAAATATAATATCCTTAAAGAGACTCGAAAGAATTGCTAGTTTTAAGGCTGTTTTATACCGCACAGTCTTCTAGAACTAGACCCTACTATAGCTGCATTGCACTCTCATCAAGTTGTCGAGCAGTTTTGTGGAAGAGCTTTAAGCGAACCAGGATTAGCAGCGGAACGATGTTCTAAATGATCAATTTATTTAAAATACTTGGCATCAATAGGAACATCACTACTTATATTAGATGCAAAGATAGCATACAACGAAACCTTGTGGGAAGACACTGGCTAGGATTATCGGCCATCTTTACCTGAAACAGTCGAATCGAACGACTCCATTTTGTACGCGTGGAGTTTCAGCACTAGCGAAAGGCGATCGGTGTTCTCGATGGAGCTCTGGCCACGTGTCTGAAGACTAGACGTCGGAACATATGAATCTCGGGTTTGAATCATGGAGAAGACATTCAGTGGTCATAGACTACCTGCTGCAATGCTAATGCGGCTCGGGAGTTGCTATCAAACTCGAACTTCATCTCTGAAACATCCCGTTGATTAAGTCCCGTAAATCCAAAGGTCACTAAGCGTGCCAAACCCTGCGTCATTTTCAATGATTCAGTACAGGTTTAACGATGTAGAATAGATTAGTATCAAGATGAATCGAGAAAACTATTATCCATCGGAAATGTCCAAGTGCCTCGAAATAGGATTGCTGCAAAAGAACTTATGACACAGTATCAGAATACTAAACGGTAATATGCAACATTGGATTTAACAGCCTTTCTGAAAGAAGCGGGCCAGTCTCTCATAAAATCTCTTACAAATAAAAGAAATTAAAAAAAAAACACGTTTAATAGAAATCAGCGGCTACTTACTGTTTTTCTGTTAAATTTTACTCTTTTCAGTAAGTTGAATATCATCAAATCAAGAAACTCGATCAGAGTTGTAGGACAGAGTAATTGTGAGTGGTCCTGTTTTCGCTAACAAGGCCTAACGCATCATACTTTCCGAACAGGGCATACGATCGGGCTATATGTTTGTCTAAACTGAAGTGAATCAAGACTTAGGAAGATGCGAGTTACCGACGATTCGTGTAACGACCATATTAACGCAAATCTTTGATCCTTCAATTAGGGGACGGAGTCACGCTGATAAGCGAAAATTCTTAATGGCTGCACAAGACGATCTTAAAAACAGCACTTAATAAGTAGAACTTTTTTAATTGTGACTTTGGTGGACCAATTATGGGATGCTATTGTAAAATATCGAGTAAGACTGAAACAGGCATTATCTAAATGGTATAAGCAAATAAACAGTCTATTCTATTGATGTTCTTCAAAGCTGGAAATTTCAAAAAATGCATTCCTTTATAGACTTGCGTCTTAGTTGAAGCCATTGCCCGTAGAAATATCGTGTGGCATCAAGCACCGACGTGAAAACGTGTTCACGTGAAGTTCAGCGTGAGCACTGTCCATGTCTGCAAGTAGTTTTCAATTGGCTGGTGCTTTAAATAGAATGTAGCGCGCTGTGTGCAGAGAGAGTTGCACACCTCAATTAAAGATGAGGCTAGATGAAGCCGGGACCGGAGAGATGCACAGAAGATACCCCTTATTTATTGGCAATGGGTACGAGGTAAGTTAGTAACGAAAGTTCTATTAGGTAATAGTAGCTTTAAGTTGAAAGAATCCGCAAGAACAGTGGCAAAGAACGCCTAACTTACTATATATTTCTATATAGATATATATATAGATATTTTTCATCTGTATGATGCTGCGGCCAATCTTTTTTAGTCCAATCTTTTTTAGCGCTACTTATGAATACAGACTTTTAATGCAGAATTGTCTATTATTTCTATTTCGGGAGAAAATAGAAAATTCGAGAAGGAGACTACTTTTCACTTGAAGAAAATTTTCTTTAGATATCTTTTACGTTTGCTATTATTGTCGTCCCGTTAATGAGGTAATAAATGTACTAATGCAAGTATTATGTCCCGTCATTTATATTCGTAGGTTAGAACACATTTGGTACAATATAGATCTTTGATTTATAATCATAGATTTTTCCTTGACAACATTGAACTTCAGCTGACCAACGAAGTGAATTTGGCACTGCAAAATACAACAATAAATCTGTTACAAATATAGCATACACCTATGGCTACCTTCAGGCTGTTTTTTTTTTGCCTAAGAAATCCGAGATTTTTATCGGCTTACTGGAAAGTGCCACCTTTCAATGTTACAAGGGACGCTTCTTTAGTACATACTTTTTTTCGATTGAATCATCACTGGAATATCACCAGGTACCTCAGATCCTCAGCTTTGATTGAAGATTCACTGAAATCCTACCATTTGTTCAGGTTGGTAACTTTAACCTTTGATTTGCCTACTAGTGAAGAATTATTACAAAGCTTTCCAACGGGAACATTACTATTTGCGCTCGATAAATGTCCACAAACAGCCTCAGTGAAGTCGACAAGCGCGACACCAACTCGAAATCGATAAATGTACTTCGCTTTTTTTTTCATAGTTATGAACCCTTGCTCGTATTGTCCGCTTCGGTTACCTCGATTGGTCATATATCTCGTAAGGCCTCTTCAAATATAAATCCCTCGGCCTTATTAGAAGGTTAATATTGTCAGCTTCTGCTAGACATTGATCAGGCTGCTACGAACAAATGAAATTCAAAAACAGTTATATTACGTTTTACTCTCCTACCTAATATATCCTGGTCTTTGTTGGTTTTTTTTCTCAGTTGCAACTTCTAACTGCATGCTATAGCTACCACTGATTTTTACCAAAGCCGATCTGCAATTTGGAAGATTTACGACAAATCGACTTACCTAAATGTCGTTTGGATTTTTACGTTTGGGAGTATTTACCAAACGCAAAACGTTACAAAGCAGCAGATAAATATTGCTTGCTGTGGTGGACCACACTTTCTGATGCGTGAATAAAAAATACATTTTTCTTATAAAAGGAGACCAAGAAACAGTCATTTTGGTTGTCCAGTGTCCAGACTGCCTATCTATATTACGTTCGATAAAAGGACAGGATGATATCCTTTCAGCTACGCTTCGTTTTTAGGTTGGTCAACGTTGGCAACTGATTTACCTTCTATCATATAGAAATTGTTTTTATTTTACATTCTCTCATTTGCCCCTCTGCGACCCTACCCATTACCCTTTACTCGAATGCTCGAACACCCGATATTCGAGCATATTAAATATATTGTACGCAATTGCAAATGGTGACTATGTAGAGTAGAAATATCCGACACAAGATTTGTAATTGGAAATATTAATTAAAAAAATGAAAAAGCGAGGTACGAAACTGGTTTAAGCTAATCTCTACAATTTAGATTTCGTACCCACGGGACGCCAATGGGCCACTTTAGGTTGCTTACGCATTATTATTTTGAAAAATGAGCTTGGAGTTCAAAATTTTAAAAATGGCCGCCAAACATGGCGATTATCAATGATTGTTTTACTACGAAAGTATTCAATGATTTGCAGCTTTCCTGACGGAGTCGTTGCGCGTCTCCTTCATGAAATTGACGTTAAATCGTCAACCGCAAAATGAATGGCCATCTTGACCAAATGGCGCAGCCCTCAGATGTGTACATATATATATAAACCGCTATTTTGACATGATAGAGAATCCAGTGCCAATGTATTTTTCTATTCGGCTATATTTTCCCTTTTTTTTTTTTGTCCGAGTAATAGTGGCAGTCAGTTAATCATCACTTGCATTATTTTGGCTCTATGTAGATGGCTTAATGTGGAACGATTTAGAATGCTACTACATTCCGCTTGTATTCTAAACTGTAAACTATAAACATTGCACTAAACAGGAGGATATCAGCAGAAGGTTGTTTGCGATAACTTACGAGTGGAAAATAGTTCATACGTATTTGTAACACAGGTAAGTTCAGTTAAGATCATAACGTCATTTTATTCATCCTTGAGAACGCCTTAACAGTGGGTATACTTTTATCAGCTCAGTTTCTTACCGAAGGACATCCACGTCCAGCAAGTGACAACACCGTCTATTCGGGTGTTTTTTTATTGTTGACGTCTGTTTTTCAGGGCGTTCATGCCCAGGCTTGTTATTGTAATTGTTATTGTCAATCCCTTTTATCGTTCACCTCGGTTTCATTCTGTTCTCATCTTTTTTCCATGATTATTCTCAACTCCTGCCGTTCAACCTTCTACTCATCGTCAGCATTATATGATGATCTTCATTATTTTCTCTCGTCTATCTAATTATTTAATTATATATCTTCCATATCGTCACCATCATCACCTTTGTTTCTAGCTCGCACTATTTTTCCACTTCCAACTTATTATGCATTATTTTTATTATTAGTTTTATTTATCTATTGTTATTTTGTCATCATCGTCATTGTTATTGTTGTTATCTAAGGATCTATCGTACTACGAGTAACACTCTCCCAAACGCTCTGTCGTGTCATCATTATCGTCATCAATCATCAGTGCATTATCATCAGTCATCATCGGTCGCCGCACAACTTAGACTTAGATATTATAATTTTCGCTGTTATCTTATTGCTGCTGCTGCTCTGCTGTTTTGTAACTTTGCTGGGCCCGCGCTTTGCTTAGAGTCTATTGTATATACTGAGTGTTTTTCCACTGGTAGATTTGCCGCGAAGGTTTCACGATGAGAATTGTTTCAGTGTATCGTAAGTCCTGTCCAGGACGGGGCAGACGTTATCGGCAAAATTATCCTTCGTCTATCGTATGTACGTGTGTGTATAGATCTCTCTGCAGGAGCATGATTCACTCAGTCGATACTGATTCTCAGTAATTTCGTCAGTTATCGTGCGATGTGTACGATATCGTGTTTTCTATGCGATCGCAGAACTTCGCAGTATCGGAAGTTTTTCGGCGATGTTGGACATTGCGGAGGAGTGAGTGCCTAGCCTAAGCGCACCGTTCGAATAAGCTATGTCGATAGTTCGTCATACTATCGTTTATGAAAATATACCATCACCAAATTTGCCCCTGATTGTTTAGTTTCTTTCAGTAAAGCGATCTTCGTAGTTTTTTTTTCTCTGAAACAGAATCGTCTACGACACGGATAGAATATGGTGCCTACCTTCGACCGATGAGCTTGCATATAGTTCGATATAGGGTGCTTATAGAATGATCATATAAAATGAAATCTTTTGTGATCGCGGAGAATACTGCTATATTTGCTCGGGTCGTTTCTATGTGGATAGGCTAGCGTTATTATTTTTTGATTGTATAGATCAAATAGTCTTCGTTTCATCAACATAGCCATATAAACACGGCCGCTTCCTTCGGTGGCTTTGAGATCGCCCCACGCCTGCGGTACCAACGAGATGTCTTTACACTCTAATCAATTGGCGCAATGCTGATTGCTGTTGTTGTTATCAAACAAACGAGGCAAGCTTCATTGCCTACTAGGCCTAATTCATATGGATGAGATGATGATTCGGACTAGCGAAAAAAACTAACACAAACATAAGCAGTTGATCAGAAATACGTACAAAAGTCCACAGTAACATAGTGTAAATACTCCTGTAACAAACGTGTCAACGACAACTTAAGTCGATGATCTCTTCGGCCAGGCTCACCTGGAGGCATAGATATGTGACGTGGCAAGTAGAAATTCACTTCTATTTCACACACGAAAGGTGGAGGCGATAGGCTATGGCCTTAGAAAAAGAACTGATCTGCTCTGTAACGACCTATTCGCCCAAATGGGAAATATCAGGTATAACGGCAATGTTCGAAGGTCAACAGAACAGCCTGTTGCAATAGCGGGAAGACTGTGATATGGGATTGAAGACTGACTTGGGAAGGAGGAAGCCGAGATGGGGCCACAAGGAGCATAGAAACACAGGAACTCTTACTCAAAATGTCATGCACAAGTATGATGCAAATATACAGAGGACACAACGCAATACTCCAGCAGGAGGCGACAAAACACTTAGGGCAACATACGTTCTCATTGAATGTATTCTATAACTACATGCGTTTACTAACGCTATGCTATGCCATAATAGCATTTCATTTCCGACTATAAAAGGATTTCGCTTAGTGTAGCTCTTTTCTGTCCTTCGTGTCCTGCAGGCCTGTTTTTTTTTCGGTCTGTGCCTTCTTCTTTCGTCCAGTGCCATGTGCGTTAACCCTTCCGTTTTATCTTGTAATCTCTTTCTTTGTCGATAATTCCTCTTATAGTTAGTCATCATCGTATTTTCACTATTCGAAACATTATCTGTATTATGCACAACACCTCGTCAGCGTTCTTCGCCCATGCACCCATCGTTCTTCAACGCTATGTGTGTGCGCGGATTGGTCTGCAGGCGCTTTGCCCAAGCTCAGTCAATAGACATACAAAAAGCCTCAATATATCGTTTTCCTATTGAAATGTTCGATCACCGCTCGGAGTGCACAGTCAATAGGCCAGTATTACTTCCGTCTCCTCCCCTAAAGCATCCACACGATATACAACGAACGTTTCTTGATCATAATTAGGTATACTATTATTATTTTTTAGTCTATGATCTAATTTACTATTTACATGGGGACCAAGGACTGAGATCACCGGGAAAGCTGACTACCCGAACGTGGTGAGATGGTCACGTAACTGGGCGCCGTATGCGATACACTTTTGCCGATCAAAAGTGACACACTTTTAGTCCTAAATCTTCAATGGCTCATCTAATGGCTGTCACAAATTGTGATCGTTTGCCGGTATTCTGCTCGAGGTCGCAATGACTTGCTTGAGACGCATCAATTATACGTAAGTTAGCCGTGAATATTGTTCGTTCCGGCCGCTAGAGCCCGCTGAAGTTGTCTGCCGGTTTAACTGTTAGCGCTGTCTACCGAGTTCTTCAGTGATGGTGTGAGGGATTAGTAGAGGCACTAATAAACGAAGCAGCTCAATGGTCAATGCGATATAAGAAGTAATAGTTGAAACGGTAGAGTTGAGACGAGTTGTACTTGTAGAAAACGAGTGCCTATTGCACTCCAGCTCTGACAGATGTTTTGAGATGCGATGGCAAGCGTCGCGCGTTATTGTTTCTTCCATTATTCAATGTAACCAAGGAATTTATGTAGAGGCTAAAACTGTGAGCCGGTTAGCGTAAAACACAATCACTGCCTACGCAGTTAGTCCGCTGCGTTCTAGCGCTTTGTCAAGGTTACTGAGGCGGATTTTCTTTGGCAGTACTCAATAACCTTGCCGCTTAGCGTCGGTGAAACTCCTGCCTAATACCCAACCGCTAAAACCTAGGAGCTAAACAAGCCGAGTGGAGTTTGAAGCCTTATTTAATATAATGAAAAGAACTAAAATATCTCGTTTGTTAAGCAATGCTCACATCTCCTAGTTATTATAAGTGACTCGTTTGTCACATAGCATGAGCCATGTTCCTGTTATTGGTTATTGCAAGCCTCCGCCAGAGAAATTAATATCTGTATATTATACTGTTATATTTGCTGCTTCTTTATGACACTGATCACCTTTTCATTAGCAATAAGATTCAAACACTAGCCGGTGTGCCATCTATATTCATTTGTTAACATTTAAGGCTCAAGGTACAAGAGAGGTGTTCATGGCAACTGATAAAAAAAGCTCACACACATTGTACATAAGACCGTTGTCAGCCGTCCGTGTCGACATAAACAGCTGACAATTTTGCGACGATATGGTCTTCACAAAACCGCTGATTTTGTGCTTTGGCGTAATGGCGCCGGACGCAAATCGGGTCAACTTTTGTACGCTAACATTTTGAGGGACAAGTTTAATGTTTGTTGTTGTTGTTGTTACTGTGCTTGTTGCGTATATTCCATACTGTTCGTAATCGTGTGTTGTATTTATATAGCCGTTATATTAATACGTGTACGTATATATGTCCGCTTCCTCCTTTGTTTCGGTTCTCGTTAAATATAACGTTAAAGGTAATAATTGCTTTAATCATGTAGTATATTAATATATAATGTACGTTCAATGCAAATGTAAAAACACTCAGGTAAGCATCACAGTACCGGCTAACGAACCAAGATATACAGCATGAACATTATTATTGTCATTATGGCTCATTATCATCATCGTATTATTGGGTCTCCTCCTCACTCTTTTTATTTTTTTTTTGTTACAGCTTCACTTATATTCCATCTCGCTTTCGCAACCACCATAATACTCCTTATCATTTTCGTTCCCCCTCCACCCCGCCCCGCCCCCGCCCACTAAAACGAAGTTATAAATAAGACCTGGGCTTTATTTATAATTGTATCTATACTGTGCCATCGTCTGCTAATTCGGTTCACTTCCGCACACTTCTTGCACACATACTCCGCTCATTATTTCTTAGCTCATTATCATTGTATCTTTGCTCATATACCTTATTATCGTCCTTACAACGCGTGTATCTAGGCAAGGATTGCTTGGTATACGTTCTGTGGTATAGGCTATTGGCAATGTGTGTTGGGTCTTGGGGTTCGTTCTTGCAGTTGCTCATCCATTCTCATTTTATCTGATCGTCAATCCAATTGAAGCTCTAAATGTTAGCTAGACGAACCGGGCTCGTGTTCCCTCATCGCCAAACACCGATTCTTGGCTGCTCTACGTTTGTTTCCTGTGCAGTTTCTGAATATTGTTTAGATACTTATGATTGCTATTGCATTGCCGTTATGCGACTAGCCCAATAATCCCTCAGTGTACAGCTTCATCCGTTTGCGTTTTACTCTGATTCCGGAGCATGGTCCTACTCGCCCCTTTTTCAATTACAGTCGTGGCGCAATCCTTCTGTTACGATGACCCTATTATTAGTCGTACGTTCTGTGTCTAGGCGTTACAGCGACTGTTCATTTTGTGCTAAAACCATGCAATCTACTATTTTACAAGGGCAACTTGTAGGTCTAGTTGCACAAACCTACAAGAGCCCGATATGATACAACTTTTGTGTGCGTGAGTGCCTGTGTGTGTCTGTATGTGTGTGTGTCCCTCTTGCGATCGCTGCTTGACGACGGCGTCTTTTCCTTTTTCTATGTTACGTTCCTTTCAGCACGTGAAGTTTTCTGGTGGTGTGAATGCACCTGTTACAGAATAAGTGGGGACTTCCGTCTACTTCGCTCATGATCATCATCATCATCATTATTACTGTCAATAGACACCTCGTGCTCACACGATTTCGGTGCCCTGAACCAGGTCTAGAGCCCACACTAGGTTCGAAGCCGGAAGCATCAATCAAACACATCGCTATTTGCCCAGTCGCCACCTTACGATCGGTTTGTTCCGCGTCTACATCGCCCTACTGATAGCAGATACATGCTTAAGCCGTCTGCCCGATGCGATTTTTTCATTTGAATTCGCAATGCCGTGCGTTAAATAGTTTCACGTTGTTTTTGTTTTGTTTCACTGCTGTTCTTCCCTCCTCTGTCTATTGCTACCGCATATTTTCTTTGACCATTTTCAATGGTCGACCGTCAGCCCGTCAATCAATTACTGTCAAATATTACGTATTATTTGTGTTAGGCAATTTATTAGCAAGTTACATATTGTGGTAGTTAATTGTTGTTGCTATTTCCAATAAGAGGGAGCGAAAGCGCTGATCATTGAACCCCACTGGCTTGCATTACTACAAGACACAAGCCTGCAGCCAGCAAATACGCTAGCATCAGGCTGGCTGCAAGCTTGTATTTTGTAGTTGTTCATGAACGAGAGCCCTAAGTAACATTTGCATCAATATGCACCTTGTCTACAGTAACGTCGACAGTTGCTCTTACGTAAAATCAAGAGCGATGGTAGCATTGAACGATCAGTGCGAGTAATCAGTTAATAACTAGCCGTTGTGCTGATAGTTACGCAGTTACGCAGGATGGTCGATCGGGACGACTCAACGTTCAGCTAGACCCTTGCTTGCTCCGTGAGACGGTCCACGTGAGGTCGTTTCGTTAGTTCGACTCGTATGCTGGAGCTGTTCCTTGTCTTCTGGGCTAGTCTTCAGCGGCACTGTACTGTCCTCGATCGCCGTCGTGGAGGAGTTGGAGTTGCTGGCGGATCCTCGTGGTGTGCCATGCCCAGACCCTGATGTGACCCCGTTACCAGGTGCTGTGACGTTAGCGGCGGATAGGCCTGGGCGTGGTTGGTCCATCCCGCTTGCTTCCAACGGGGGTCCCCGGCTCGGATCTGTAGATGTGCAGCAGTTGCGAATAAACGTGCAAAAGGTAAGCTACAGGGTTCTAATTAGTTTCGCTCGCATTGAAACATCACATATATTTTGTATAACAATGGTGGCAGCGTATACTTGCTTCAGTTTATGCAGATCTGCCGGATGACTTCCATCTCAGTCGAGAAGAAGGACAAACAGAGTTGTTGAGTCTTTTTTTTGTTATGTTTTTGAGTATAGGTAGGCAATCTACGTTTAAAATAAAAGCAACAGATCACCGACCACTTGAAAATAGAAGAAAAAGTAGGTGATCTCAGCCCTGCTACGCTTTGAAGTTCCAGTTGGTGACGGAGGGTTAATCGTTCAGACTAGCACCACCTGTTTCAGAACATTCTGAATTCACTGATCCGTACGTACAAAAGAAGATGACGTTTAAAGTAATCAGAAATGACGATTAGGTGGCCTATTTAAACTTGACAGGTCGATTCTGATGTAGGTTCTTTAAAGAAATCTAGAGCATCCATTAGAAAAAGCAAAAAAAAAACAAGAAGTAACTGGAAGCATATGAGAAACGCTAATACGACAGAACCACCTTGTAAGACATACTGTCCGAACGAATACAAATAACTGATGACGAGGCACGATTGTTCGATTTTTTTTTCGCTAACGGATAATTTTTCTACCGTTTTAATTAATTTTCTGATTAATTTTTCAGTGAGTAGGCACATTATTTTCTTTTCGCTTCTCTTATGTGGCAGGATGGTGCAAAGCGGATAAGCAACAGCTGGCTTTTGCAGTAAAAATGAACCTGTTCTAGTTAGAACAGTGACGTGAGGTTATTTGGTGTAGAGTGTTCAAAATTATACTACCTATTGGCATTTTATATATCGAGTGTAAGGTATGCTTCGTTAAAATCGCGAAAAAAAAACGATTATAATTAAGATGTGGATACTGGAAAAGAACCAATACTTGTTTGTGTCTTGTAAGTATGTCAGCATTTATACGATCAGGATGACTATGCCTACTATCGTGCAGTGCACTACTATTCATCGAAAATAAAATCACTGAGGATATACACTGGTCCCCAATATTCCTTATTTTTTTAGCTTTGAAATTTTATGATTAATTTGACTACATATGCTTCAGCTATAGTAGTATGAATTGATAGGAAACGCGATTTCGTCGTATCAAAAGATGATAATGTTGGATAAGACAAAGACGTTATGATCAGTCAAGATAACTTACTCTGATGAGGATGTCCTCCTTGACCGTCCTGCACCGTTGACTGTTGTGGGTTAGGCTGTGGTTTGGGCTGCTGCGACTGTGGTTTTGGAGGCCACAGGTCGATGAGGTACTTGAGAATCTCAATCGGTTTCGGGATGTGAGATAGTTCTTCAAATTTGCTGTGGCACATCAAAATCGGCCCGAAGGATACAGCTAAACTTTGGGAAGTGACCTGATGACCCTCGCATGTTCCGAAGGTAGTTACATTAGAACGTTTAATTTGTTAAATAACAGGCACATATATTGTTACATAGAGATGAGTTTCGAGCTTCCATCATTTTGAGACGGGCTAGATCCTAATTTTGTTTAAGACCTGGGGCGTGCCAGATAACGAGTTTTCTGGCAATTTGCAAATGATCAGATTTTGTCTACCCTTCCCCTGCCGCCCAAAACAAAATCATAAAACGTCAGCAGTTCATGTAGTAAGGTCGCAAATGCCCCATTAATTGCTACGAATGTATTATTTGTCAACAGTCTTCGATCGATTCATGTGTATAGCTTTTAGGTGCTAAACATCAATGCATATTACCTTATTAGTTTCGCAGTGAGCCACAACTTGTTTAAGATGGTCAAGCAAAAACAGCGCAGTCGAACGATTCGTTTTTGGGAGACAGTCGAGAATTCCAAACATTAATTTTGCGTTTCCCGTTGGATCGTCTGGCATGCAGACGGATAAGCCGTCTGCTAGCATGTCGAACAGACCCTTTGTGAACAACGGCTCTGGCAGCTCCCGTAAGTAGTCCTTGACCAGGCCTAAGGAAATGCACAAAATGTTGGGCTATAGCTATAAGATTAATTACGACAGATGTGTACAATGAAAATAATCATTTAGATATTTTGTTCATGAATGAATTGAAGTCGGCTTCAGATAATTCGCCGAAAAAATGTCAAATAGAAAGAAGAACCCTTTAAAAGAGAAGAAAAGAACCCAGAATGGAGCATGCTCCATTTCCCCATTCATTCTTGCGGTTCCGCCCCGTTTGCCGTTTCCGTAAACCTGCCTAGACGATCTTTCTAATTAATCGCCAGCTTTTATCTATGCCATGTATACGACCTCTGTACAAACAAAAAATTGGCAACTTTCGCTTAATCCAGTTGTTATTACATACAACACGGCAGCTGAAAAGTATGGGGTGAACACTCGTGCGTGACATCCGAATGGCAATCTTTTAAATTGCTTAGCCTTGATATCTGATGATGATCATGTCTAGATTAAAGGGGGGCGCATTCCGTCTTTTCACAACCGTGACAAAAGAGCGTTGGCAGATATTTGGCGAAAATGGTATATGTCCGTCAGGCGCATATATTAAAAATGACTACGGCGCTGTAGTTTACTGCAGGAAGGAAAACCTGCTTTTGATTAATCCGAACGATGACGGCACAGCTACAATCCTATTCAGCTTCGCAGCAGGTCCTTTCGAGCACAATGATTTTACCTGGTTGTGAAATCGGTTGTGCAATGTAAGACAAATCTTTGTTTGCTACACAAGAACGTCCATCTTTTTTCTCGTGTAACAGAATTCAATGAGTGTTGGCTGAATTCGGTGACTCTGTAAACGGGACACGATCTTTTCATTTTTTCGGTCGAGCACGTTTCTTAAACATTAAAGTTGGCTTCTTGAACTAATGTTTCAAATGTTTGTTCTTTTTTTTTTATACCTGTGTTTCTTCCACTTTCACTAGGAAGATAATTAATAGAAATGCATCTCTGTACCGCTATTCCTATATCTGGAGATGCGAACGGGAACGGACTCAATTCAATAGGTCGCACATGAGAGAGCGAGGCCGTCTACGGGAAAAATTGCTCCTATTTTCTATAACGGGGGATCGAGTTTCTGTGTCCAGGATAAGTAAGCAGAATCCGAAGTAGACCCGCCTAGCTAGTTTCAGTAGGATTTCCTTTTTGAACGCTGTTTACGAAGATTGCGCTTAGTTCAATGCGCCGATGTCCGACCAAATGCTAAATTATTCAGAATCAATCTGACAGTCCGATCTACCTCAACAACGATAACCAACTGTTAGGTTTTAGCACAAATCTTAGTTATTCGATGACGTTTTCTATTATCTATTACGCTCAATTGCTAAAGCGGCAGAACTGCTAACAAAGATTACCTAAAGGCAATACAATTACAATATTGAAAAATTTAATATCTCATTGATGGTTGCAGATGGTCCCGTATATGTGACGATTGCTTAATAACGTGCAATTTTTTACGTTTGCTAAGAAAGGGATCGATTAAGCTACACGCGCGAAGCAACTATGGTTATTTGCAGATATGTTACTTTAAGCTCTACGTAAAAATGCATTGTGACAACGCTGCAAAAGACCATCTTTGTCCCCGCTCGTGTTCGGCGCTGTTAAGTGTGGCTGCGTCTCTTGCACATCTAAATTCGCACAGTGGTTTGCCACACCTAGACAAATAAGCATAGCGAAACGGACACTGGGTGACAGGGTCATCAGAATGGTGTAGCACGCACGAAAAAACAATTGACGGTTCTGGAATGAACGATAACATGCCACGGGCTCTGTACCCCTGTTTAACCGTAAGAAAAACTTAGATTTCTAGTGGGCATCAGACCAGAAAATACCCGGCTAGAATGAGAGGTGCTGATTTGGAGCGCTTCATGCTAATCGGCCGCCATCTATGGTGTACCGTCAGGGCTCTTTTCGAGGCGCGTTCCAACCTTACGACCACACTAATAATACTTACTGGTAATGACATTGATGTCTGGCACATGTTCCGCGGTGAGGTCCACTGTCCATGCGTTTCTCTCAAACCACTCACGAAGAATCTTCTTGCGCAGAGCTGACCCACACAGTCTGTAGATGCCGACGATATCGAGGCCACGTGTCTCAACCTCCTCGATACAGCGTTTTAGGATTAAGGGCACACCGCTGCCTGTAGACCCCAGACGGAAGGGAATCGAAACGCGAAAAGTTAACAGCATAGCAACGGAAAAGTAGCAGCAGCGAGAACGAAGAGGAAACGACGGAATACGGAGGTCATATCAACATTTATATATACCGTTGTACACAAGACGAGTCCCGATCCAATCGAGTTTGTATTATGTTCCAATACAATCAAAATCTTATGTTGTGAGCCCTTTCGCGACGCGTGAATCATTCAAAGTTGATGAGTTAAGCACGGTTATTAGAATGGTACCCAGTTATAGTCAGAAGGATCGGCAGACTTAACTGGCATAAAGACCCTGCAGAGCAAAAGACCTAAAGCAGTGTTTCCTTCGCCTCTTCAGCCTCATCGTAGCGCCGATGAACGTGCGAGACGGTTGGACTACCCAACCTAGGACGGCAAGGTTTTTGAGGGCCCTGTCCTTTTATTACTACCGACTGACTGCTAGTTATCGTTCCCCTCGGCTAACCTAGCAATCTCTGTTGGCGCTATTGTGCCTGGCGCGTTCCACGTTCCTTTGTCCATATGGTGCCCTTAGCTTCATAGATTCGTATTAGTTTTTCGTTCCCTGGAGAAGGCCGACTTCTGTTTACTAAAACCCACTAGGTCTGTCCTATCGTGTTGCTCCAGTATTGTACCGGGAAAAGGCTAGACTAGGCTGGACAAAGAACTTAATTTCCTTGCTCGCATCTTCTTAGCGCCGAATAGCAGCAGACGGTAGAGTAGACGATGGATCCAGTGGGAAAAGGTGAAAAAGGCCGAAAGCGAAAAGAGAGAGAAGTGGAGAGAATATGAAGGATTTGGACAACGGAATTCGCATTCACAGGAGGCCTTCCAGAGCAGTAGGACCAATCGAGTAGTGTAGCTGCATCACGAAAGACCAAGAAATAAAGATAGCCGGGCATCACTAATATCTTCTTATCAGGTGGCACAAAGTATTCACATCCAGAAGAAGGAAGGCGAGAAAAAATAACGCAAGACTCATGGCCTACGAGCTGTTCTATAGGGGATCGCGTTGTTTTCCACCATATCGTCGCACTGACCTGATCAACACTCCCTTATGGCTGGCCACCGATCTCACTACCAGTTCCCGTACTCCTTCCATCCTTCTTGCGTGTCCGCTCATTATGGGTGTGAACTTCCGCCGGCGCGCAATGGTCTTCCAGACCCAATTACTTATGGCTGCCATCATTGCTCTCTTTGCGAAGTCTGGCTTATGTCATCTCCAAATCTATCTCGTATTCCATTACTGTCCTAAAGTAGTAGGGCGACATTTATCCTTTGTCTTGGCCTTAATGCTATAAGCATTGCTGACGTGACCCTGTTCCCCCAAGATACCTTCTGAGCCTATACCTAGTTCTGTGTAGATTTCATTGTACTTCAGCATGGTCCCAAGCGGCCACTGGTTACGTACCTTGTTCGCGGCCAATGAGGACGTCCAGTGGAACTCCAAACACTCCAGTTTGTGGACTGGTCGACGGCAACCTCTGAAAAGTCTGTTTCACGTTGCGATATCGCAATTTAACGTAAAGCGAACCTCTAGGCTCAAGCTTCAAAGCTATATTGTACACAGGCGCTTCCTTTAGCGCGCTAAGTAGATTGATCGTGCCTTTGTAGCAGAGGCGGTGGCGTGATTGCGGATCCCAGCTGTAGAGCAGAAACGCGACGTTGATGTTGTCCGCGAGGTCGAGCTCGAACACTTCGTTCCAATCGAACGAGTGATCCCCTGTGCGGACCACGGTACGCGCCTTGTGCACCCGATCGCACTCGATGACGCAATAAAGATCGCGGAATTGAGCCTCTTTGTGGCTCCCTGCAGGTGTCGGCGCACAGGCACCAAAAACAGATACATAAGGCTTGCATGAGTAACCAGAAGAATATGCAAGTTTTTCTATAGAAGTGTTTCTATGGACAAACATGTCTATTTATATTTTGTGATAGCTAATAAAAATAGCTAACTGACAAAATATTATTCTAATTGCACCACCCAAAAGCGACAGATTCATTTCTGTATTTTTGTAAAAGTATTATATAGGATCGACACAATTGATTGTTTATCCAGCTTCATTTAGCTCTGATAACATTTTTCATAGATTACCCAATAGATTAACTTGTATCAAGTGACAGTCAGTAATACACTTTCAGTGTTATTAAAATTAATTCAGTGAAATTAATGAACTAAGTCAGTGAAACAATACGACAAAACCCTCTTACCAGTCGCGCGCAAGCCTCGCGCGGCTAGTAGATGTACCCACAGCACTCCCGACAACGCCGACAGCCCCCCAGGGGCCATCATTTCAACACTTTGTCGACTCCCCCCGTACCCTTTATTAAACAGATCGCTGCGCGATCCAGCGGCAGATCCAAGCACGAGGCCCGCTTTATCGGCACCTGAAAAACTCCACGAAAAAATTGAACTATATGAAACAGAGAAGTAGACAAGTAATAAGAAAAGAAAGCCAAAGTATAAATAACAGTAATAATTGACCGATTAACAATTACAGCGATATAGTAGTACGTTTCAAAAACAGGCGTTCTTTTTTTTTGCCATGGTTTCGAGCATTTAATCTCCCTCGCTTCCTTCGATACCTTTTTTGCCTAGCCTTAAATCGCAATACACACAGACATTTGTGAGTTACCTAGACCTCAAACAAGTATTATAGATCCAGAGAAGGCCGTAAGTGTCTCAGCTGCTTTACTTTTCATATTTTTTCTAATGTCGACTGGTCCTTTGGAAAAAGATCATGCTTAAGTGAGTTCTGAATTTTGGCTGGACGTTCGTGGTAGCATCAGTGGCTGCACCAGGGCAAGTTCGCTTCGCAACGGGTGAAAGCAGCGGGGGCACTAGAAAGAACCAACCAGGAACCAAACACAGCGACTGCAGATGCTACTAGAATGCCGGCACGCCTTCTTGATCTGATTCAGCGGCAGGCTCGAAAACACGCCTCGTGTTTGCTTGTTGGGTTTTTCCTTCATCGTTGTCGGAGTTGCGGTTGTCGTCGTCATTTTAAGTGACTCGTCGACACTTCCCTCAAGAGAACTCACAGCCTAGCAGTCTGTACAATCTTGGATGGAGGCTGACCCAAGAAACACCAAATTTGGACGGAACCGAGTTCGTAGTAACAGCAGTGCGACCTTTAGAAAACAAACCCGACCTCGTAGAGTAATCATGGGCCCCCGTCGGAGTTCGAGCCGGGTTAATTACAGCGAGCGACGTTAGCCAGCCAGCCAGCCAGCCAGCCAGCTAACTACAGGGACCACGACTATCGTCAGGCGTCGACTCACGGCCGGGGCCGTTTATGGAACAGGGACAACATGAGACAAAAAAAACCTTGCGACGCCGCAGACGTTGCTAGTGCGGGCCCCTTTGCGGGTCCTTCTACTTTCTCGTCGAAAACATCTGCGGACGCTGCTGCTACGGCGCGGGATACCCACATTAGAGGATAGACAGACTGGCGAACAAGACAACAGACAACCGGACACTCACACATGCATGTCAATACACATTTGGTGAGAGCATCTGAAAGTCTGCTGGCAGCCACATCCAAGACTTCAAGTGAACCGCCTAGGAACTCTAAACCAGCAGAGAAGAGACTCGAACAGAAACGTCGCCGGATGTCGGGACGGCTAGCGGTCCCTCAACCGCCCCTCGCAAGCGAGACGTAAAGACGCCGCGAAGTCAAGCCGAACCTCGAGTTCAGCGACGGCGATTTCAAAGGAACTTCTCTTTGCCGAACAATGCTTCTCGGACGCCAATGATTATGCCACTTCTCGATATGTACAAACTGACCAACTTATAAATGCTCAATATGTCAGTTGTCGTTTCAGGATCTTCCAGCCTTTCTCCTTTGATTGGGCTTTTCCTAAAAATATCCCAGCAGCTGAAGCTAAGGAAAAAAAAGCGAAAAAGAAGGGTCCAAACGGCAAGCCACTAACTGTACTAGCTATGGCCTGTGCCGAGAACTTGGCTTAATCCACTCAAAACGTGCTCTCAGGCCAAGCATTGACTTGTCGACGATAACCGACAGGCTGATACGATAAGCCTCAGAATCCCACAAACTGAACCAGCATGAGGAAGCCTCCCTGTTGTTGTAGATTGGTATTATTCTACTTTTTCTGTTCCTGTTCTGAGAAAAATGTTCTTGATATCAGTTTCCAGCGTGCCCGCTGGCATTAGTGTTGGACATATTTTTCCCGCTGCCGTTAATTTTTTTAAACCTGAAACGTTCGCGAATCTAAGGTACGAATTCATATAAAGATTATAAAAAGTTCTTTAAACATGCTTTTTTAAGTATCCGCGCGGTGTCGTAGTAGACTTCTAGTTATAAAAAGTCATTTTGAATTATAGTTAGATACCACAGTAAGTAGCACATCAATTGGTCCATCTGTGGATGCAGTTGTTAAGTTCTTTTTGTAAGTATTCCTGTGGATCAAATCAAAGTCTGATCGTAAATATAAAACGAAAACAATTAAAGGATGCTGTGAAATTACTTCGATATGTTATGAACCTTATTGCCCGTTTAGCAAAGGAAATCTCATGCCTAGGCATAATTGGTAACAGTGTCATTGTGATGATAATTACAGATAGCACCTATTAACATAGAACTCTGCTCCGATATGCGCACGCACGCATGCACCCCTCAAGATACGTAATCAGAAGTTCAACTGTCATACAAAGGAGCAGCAAGAAGGCTTACGGTACATAGTCAGGGGCGACAAGCAAGCAAATTGAAACACCGTTCGCGTTTGTTTCACGCAGACTTCCATTAATTCGTAGGTCGAAATCTGCCTTCTGAATAACTAACGTAGGCGTCTGTAATCAGGCCGGCTACGGTTGTGACAGTGACCTAAGACCTCTACTTCAGCACAACTTCAATGCTTCAGTTTATTATTATTAATTAGCTAACTGGCTGCAAGCGGCTGGGTACAGTTCTGCGGCGGGTGTAGCTGTACACTATGAGAAGATTGTTTTTACATTTCTTGTGGAAGCGTTGACAGCGGTACAGGAGTGCCGTCTAGAAGAAGTTACGTCACAGGCTTCCTCTAAAAGGTCGAAGACGGTTGTGTCAACAAGACTGAAAAGAAACCTGAATTCATCTTGTAAAAGCAAGTTAAAAAAAAAAAGAAAGAACTTCTTGATAGGTCGTTCCGTTACACGAAGCGTCACCCTTGCTCGATATTACCCAACAACTAACGGAAGTAAGCTAAAACAGAGTGTATATACGTTGGAAGACACCACTCACCGCTTAAATGAGGAAGTTTGATGTAGTCCATGCTAAAGGCATGTGGGAGGTTACTCTGGCGGCTCGCGAAGCCCAGCGCTGAAGTCGATCGTCCCAGGGTGGCCGTGCTACCGGCCAAGATACGGTTATCCTGTCGAAGACTTTCCAGCAACGAATCAGTTGAATGTGCAGCGATTCGAGATAGTGACAAATCCTTGCGCAGCGATACCGTAGATAATTTTCCTGACAGAGAGTCATAGCGTCCTGTTGCGCTACTGGCTGACGGACGCCGCCGTCGATCCTGAACGGTGCCAATAATAACAATAAGTAAGACAACGCTGTATAATAACTTACTATGACGATGCTAATTACCATAGCAGCATTCATACTAATATACACTGGTAAGAATACGCATAGGGAAATACGACGCAAACAGGTGTTTTCGCAGACTTCTTTTCAAGTCCTTCCCCTTTCGAGCAACGTGACGAATCAGCGAATAACTTCTGCACAAGTCAACCGCTGAAATCTTCAACGAGAAGCGTTTCTGGGATGTTTTCATAGCCTCGAAACCTTTGTAAAGCAAACAGCTAGTATACAGTCGGCATGCGGCTGATGTGCTGAACAGGCAGTGAGGCCAATCCGTACACGAGTTGTGCATGGAAGTATGCGTACGTGGATGTAATCGATGAGGTCGTAGTGCACGCAGAACGAGTAGGATTAGCGGGCTAATATTGAAATGAGGCTGGGTGTTTCAAGGATTGTGGGGAGCAGGAATATTCAGGGATGGACAATTGAGTTGCCCAAGAATTAATAACTAAAATTAGGCAGGTCTATTTTAGAAAAATTGGTATAATTATGGAGGGCGTAACAGCGAAATCTGATCAAATCTCATCGTGCTACCTTCTCGTCATACAATTAAGTCCGTAGCACTAATTACGTATATGTACGGTTGTGTTTCAGTTAAAAAGCTCGCTGTATATAATTTCCCGTATTTCACTAGAACGGATATTATTCTAGAAGGCGCGATAGCCTATGCTTTTTTTTTGTCATCTAAAAGCAGACTATCAGTAGGCTTGTGAAACTGACATTTTTTACAAGATAGATGCCTGAGTAGGCTGCACACCTCCATGCTAATTTCAGACATCGTACAGATAATTTTTCTTTATATATCATTGTAACTTTTCTTTTCTTTAGCTCTTTGGTTTAACTGGGTTGTTGTTGGCTGACACGAAGAGAAAAACTGCATCATTCTCCTGCTTTTTGGCCTTTTTCCGTTTCACCGTCTACCCTAACCTAGCCCTATCATCAGCTTCTAGATTTCACAAATGACTAATCTATACCTGGAAGTCATCATTTTCAGGGGGTCCGTAACGGCCGAGGCTTTGCTGACGGCGATATTCCGATTCGGCAGCGGCCATCGCCGCTGAGATGATTCCTGCCGTTCGAACCCGCGGTAGAGAGTTGCTTCTTCCGGCTGGCCGCTGAACGCCCATCCCACTGACAGAACGCGCTATACCACGTCCTAGCATCAAATCCCGGGATGAACTCATCTCCGTATCCGAACTCGATTCCATGAGAGACGCTCGTCGGATACCAGCAGCAGTTGCGGCCGTCGCAGCCTAGCGCGATTTTGAGGGTGATGAAGGCCGCATCCCGATTTAATATAGGTATTAGATCATAAACAAAATAGAATTATTGCTACGCATAATAATAGTAGCTCGTAGTACTAACGGCGTTTGCAACAACTAGACATACATATTATCGAAAACGTAGTAGCTCATCATTTCCGCCTTCTACTTCCTTGGATAAAATTGTCATTATTCAACACCCTCCTGCCTCCCGCCCTGTCCCCAAAGCATATGGAACTCCGATTACAATCCAGTATGATGATAATATTATTCATCAGCGGGTATTTACATAATTCCCGGATAGTTAGTTGTTCACGTCTACCAGATCGACGGGGCAAAAGGAGCGGTACTTCACAGTGTTTAACTCCAATTTTCTTGTTTTTATTTTCTTTATGTAAATCATAAGTGGTTTACCTAGCATAGGAAGTTCACTGGCACCGTTATTAAGCAAGGTATAACATAGTCCCGATTGATAGAGCTACGTGTCTGATTAGGTCCAATGGCATAGTGTTATGTGCGTATTCAAGCTCACTTGTGGGTCTCTATAGGATGAGTGCTGCGGCGGGGGATGTACTCAGCAATCGACAGTTGTTTAGCACTGTATCCAACAGGCCATCAGTCTTTTCGTTTAGCCATCACAATATTAGACGTGCAGGTATACGTGCATAAGGAATCTATTCGCTGATTTCAAATAGCTAAAGCACAAATCACATTCGACCGTAAAGCAACTGGGCGCAAGGGAACAGTTCACGCCAGCCCCCCTCCCCCCCCCCAAACGTGCGCTGCCGAATCGTTGACTAGTGAAGATTGAATCGCATGCAGGGGATATCGGGTACTGCTGAGTCATCAGGGGAAAGGATTGTGGTGAAGAAATGAGAAAATGGCAGATAAAATGAGAGAACTGGAAGACTTCTAGGCTGTGGGGCTCCTTCCATGAAGGTGGGTACTCTGAGGAGGGGCAACACCGATGCGAGCGTTGCCAGGGGCAAGAAATCTGATGTGGTAGAATAGCGTAAGGTCGCGATGGGTTCTGCCAGTTTGAGGCCAGCCAGAGCAGCGGAAGTAGCCGGTAAGCCTTGCGAAGGCCGCACTCCAAGACACTAGCACCAGTCAGGCCTCCACCGTTTGTTCGTCATGGCCAGCATGCTAGCGTACTGTTTGTCATGTACATCCAACGCAATATCGAGGCGGGAGGCTTTGTAGCCAACGGACCTTATAGTTCCTGTTTAGCTACCAACCATCGCCTCGTGCAACTCTGGGTGTGTGCAGGAGCAGTTTTTGGTCCCCCTCCAAACTCCGCTGCGAGCGGCCCCAGACAACATGTGTGTGGGCGCTGGCGAGCGGTGTGCAGCTGTGGCGTGAATGCTGAGAGGGTTTGAAAACCATGGGGGATCTGAGGGCTTCGCAGCTGAGCTTGAGCTGGTTGCTGCAGTAAGCAGCAGGCGCGCGCGGGCGGGCGTGAAGACAGCGGACGGGAAGCAAGCAGTCAGGGTGCTGCCTGCTTCGTCTGGGTCTACCTTCTCGTACTACGATTTCTCCCGCGGGTATTGAGCTGAAGTACCCTCATGGGCTCTATTACCCTGCACAGTTGGTAGACAGAGGCAACAGTGTCGATGGCGGCTGTATAGCTGTAGAAATCTCCGCGGGGTTAACGACGGCCGCTGTCGACCGGCATGAAGGCTCAAAGCAGAAAAGCCCCCGCTGCTTTCCTCACTGAACTAGAGTGTCTGAGAAATCAGAGGGACTCAGCACTCGCCTTCTTCGAGTTCAGTCGTTGCCACAGCCGTTATTGCTGCTGCTCTAGCTGGTTCCCAAACCCTTTAAGAGCTTATCTCTTCTAGACATAAGCTGAGCCGCGTAGGTACGTGTGTATAACGTGGCATAAATCCACGGCCCACTGGTGCCGATCGCACTTCGCCACACTTGTACGGCGGTCTAGTTCAGCGTCCTAGCAATGATACAGCCGTAAGCACTTCTCAGACTAATATTGCTGAGTATAAAGAAGAAAGGCAGCGGTTGGCTATCATTACTAGGCATAATCACGATACGGTAGAGGACAGTAAAGCCGGCACAAGATCACATAAATCACAGAAAGTCCATCCGTTTGTTCGGCTCCCTTCTCAAGATAATTATATTGGTTATCCTGCTGATATGCTGGGGTGACTGACTGGGGGTGATAACCTTTTTGATTCGTTTGCGTTATAACCTTTCTCTGCTCGAGTTATTCTGCAGAGTTTGAGCTAGAAGGAAAATGCCGTGATCGCCGTACGCGTGTACACGTATACATAAGGGCAACTATTAAGTAGCGTGGTAAACAGAGGAAAGCAACGAGCAGCGAGAATTAAAAAGGGATAGAACGAATATTTGAATGTTCCCTATATGTTGATTGCCGCGTGCGGTTTGAGAACATTATGCACCCCACCAAGAACAGGTAATGATTAGGACAACGAGTAGATTGCACTCTTAGAGAAATAGATTTACATCAAAGTAACAATGTTTTTATGTGGAAAAAAAATCCTATAAAAACGCCACTTCGCGTATGGGCTGCCGTTCGTTGTTACTATTATTGTTACACTAACCTGGAGATTTTGTCGACTGACGGAAAGGTATGTATAGTCTTCGGAAGAATAGCCTGTTGACGATCCAGGTCGGCCTAGGGTCTTACTCTGGAGAGTTGTCGCACCTGCGCTATTCATTCTGGGTCTCAAGCTTAGTGAGTAGTACCTGTGAAACAGAAATGGGTCACGACAAAAAAGAGAAAATTCATTGATCTATCGTCGTATAGGTTGGACGCGTCTTGCATTGATTATGCGCCATAGCGCTCGATACGTTTACAGATCAACTAATTCTTGCATTATTCTATAAAACAACTGGTCGAATTTCAGCTGAGTCATCGTTTACGAGGCGAATAAGGAACCAGTAGCATCTCCGATCGGCCATTGCATAATTGTGTGTATATCGCCTCAGCAACGCTATGTACATGGTGGTGAACGGCTAAACTCTACGAGGTGTGCATATCAAATGGACATCAGTGTTTCTTTTCATTTATGGATACCTCATTATTATCTATAGGATCATCAGTGTTGCAGCATTTCTCTCTCTATATACTACGAGTTAGTGCGTCAGCAGTGGAACGGTAGTATAGTCTTATCCTAGCGTCTACATCGAGGTATCTACTAGGCATAACTATGGTATGTACAATAGCATGCAAAAGTACGTTTACCTGTCGAAAGAGTTTTGCCGCTGATTGGCCACGTGTGCAGCGCCTTGAGCCAGGGCGGCCGCTGCAAGCCTCTGTTCACTCTCCGTCCGCATCATCGCCCGATCAGCCGTCATGAAGCGTCCTTGCTGTCTTGACGCTGGCCGTTCGGGTCCGACTCCTGCACGACTCAGCGATTTGGAATAGTCATAGTTCTCCTGCCCTCGGACGATCATTGAACCGGTCGGGCCACCTGGGACGCTCCCCACACCCCCTACTGGTCCAGGACCACTCGGCCGTGGCGTTGTGCTGAAACCAACTTGCTCACCGAGGTTGTCCAGCGTCTTCGGATATTGGTGCTGTAGTTTTGGCTGAGTTGATTGTACTTGCGCGCGATGCCCGCCAAATCCGTACGGATCCTCGTAGCCCATCGGGGCGCCGGGCGGCTTGTAAAACTCGCGTTGGCCATCTTCATCATTGTGCATGTCCTTCTTGATGACGACGACTGGCCGTGGTCGATCGAGTGTACTTCCAATGGTCGTATGTGTCGCGTGTGGCCCCCCACCGCCGTAAAGTCCACCTTCATGCTGTTGCAGGGTTGTCGCCGATATGGCAGCGCCATGGGATTGCTGCACAGGCGGGTGAGATGAGGCGCGTATGGTTAGGACAAGCCGACGCGGTATAGACATGATGATAACGACATCATCTAGTGACATACGCCGAACATCGACCAGATTGACTGCCAGGATCTCATCGCCGACCTTGAGCAGTCCTGATGAATAAACGGCACTTTCAAGTGCGATCCGCGAGATGTAAACACCCTCGTACGCGTACGGTGCGTCGCCTTCACGAATGTAGAGACCGAGCGTTTGACCTGGCCGTTTAATGATTTCGACGAAGCGGACCGCATGAGACTGCGCCGCTGCCTCAATGTAGCGCCGGCCAAACTCCAGTCCTACACGGCCCAACGAGCGTGGATCTAACAAACGGATAATCATTTCTCCACGGCGTTCTACCATCTCCATGTTAGCGGCTGTCTGCGCATCATATGAGTTTTCGACCGCCTCGATCTGTCGGAAAACGTCCGTAGAAATGCCAGATATCTTTCGAAAATCGCTCTGAATCACCATCTCAGGCACCTGACCAGAGGGGAGCCGGCCCCGGCCCAATGGGGCCGATATGCCATTGGCCATGCCAGGGCCGCCGGAGAATTGGCCAGGAACTCCTCGGCCTCGGCCTGCTCCTGTTGACATATTGTAGAAGAGGTGGCGACTGTCGCTGCCATCTACTCCAACGGCGAACTCCGTCTCGTGTGTGTCCTGAAATGAAGACGCGGCAGAAACCAAATCAGAACTAGCGCAGATAACATGATAACTCAAATGTAACAGGCAGATATATATAGTTTAAGACAGGAATTGATGTTGATAAATTACGTAAGGGTGGTATCCCTTAGCAAGTATAGTTCGTCTCAATAGCACAACGTAACAAGGGTCACTATTAGTACGAGAGTTAAATTGCCCGATTTTCTATCAGTTTAACATGAAGCAAGAATGAGTTATCTTCTCACATGACTTCTTAGCATTAATGTCTAAACTATGAACAAAACCACTAACGACACCCACAACAAATAAAGACTGACCTTTTTTTACATTCTACAAACAGTAGAATGTAAGCATTGCTACAAAGTACTTCAGTACTTTTTCTGTAGTACATCTATGCAATAAGCCCCTCATCACCACGCTATAGCCTTAAGTAGTCAAGCCGTGTCGAATAAAAAGCGCGCCAGATCAAAGATGTTCATTTTTGGGGAATTACTTCGAAAATTTCGTAAATGAAAAACAAAAACCAATGCAGCACAACGTACGTCCGCCTCATCGAGTGCGTTCCACTGCTTTATGGCCAGTTGGGTAGTTCATGTAATCTTAATCTGATGAACCTGAATTCCTACGGCGTATTTTTTTGACTATAGTCCCCTTCTCTAATGTCAGGTACTGGCAGTAGCATATACCTATCTATTCATATTGTGTAGGACCAATGCAAGGCCTAGTGTGGAAATAAATGTGGGTCTACTGCCTTCCAAACTCGTTCAAGTTAGTTCGAAAGCTCTGGTGGGAAAAAATGCAGCTGTGTCCTACGTGCGTGCGTGTGGGAAAGCTACCGGTTAGATTATCTAAGCTCAAAATCGTACACTGACTTTGTCTCGTGTCGGGAGCCAGTCGTTTAAAGCACCATTTAACAACAGTACTAGATATATGGACTATTAACTAAAAACATAACAATTAAAGAGCAGAAGTTATTTATAGCTCTATCATTAAGCTGTTGCTGACAAGTAAAAATGCACCGGTAATGCGTCTGTTCTGTGAAAGATATAAGCAATTAATTTTAACTTAGATGTCAAACCAGATCCTAGTTAAATAATAAATGTGTATAGCATTTAACTAGCAGAAGGGAGAATAATTTCGAGCATATATTTTCTTTCCGTATCACGCACAAAAGCCAAGACCTCCTTGAGAATTATTTGTAAACTTAACATAACCTCTAGAGATTTTATCAACGCAATACATTAGATAATTCCACGGGCACAATAATCATTTACTAGAAGGAAATTCACAGGGTTTCGTTTAAATTTCACATAGTGCCTAATAGAGCGTCATGACTTTATTACTGCTTACGTCGATTCGAGATACTACAGCAGAAGGTTTTGAGTCTTCTGCTTGGGGGTAGCTGTGCAGAATATGCTAATAGAGAGGTGTTGTCTTGTTTTCGTGTATCGTAATTGTTCCCGTATGATGGTAACACATTAGAATGGGCGTGTCGAATAGAGAAACTTTAGGATAATTCTACTGTCTTTCTCTGCGGCCGCCCTCTGGAACGGAGAACAGTTAGAAACCGTCCCCATACCCCAGCTGCCTGCTGAATACTTCACGGTTAGTTTATACAATGATTTCACGCGCAATCGTGTCTATGTATATGTGAAGTCTGAGCGGAAAACAGTGGCAATGTAAAATTATTTCTGGGGTCGAGAAGCTGTGACGCTTTACCACTTTGTCGGTTTTCTGATGAACTACGATGAAGCTAGCAATTAGTATAATAACGAAGGACTATTACAAATTCGGGAAAAGGGGTCGACTAAACTTGGTACGATATAACGAAGATAATACAGCTAAAGGGCAGCTTTCCGACCATTTCCTGACTCGATTGGACTTGCTGATCTTCTTTTGGCGGACCGGTGCGGAAAGTGGGCGGGTGACTGTGTGTGTATCTGTCTAAGCTTCCTTTACATCGGTTCTAGATAAACACAAAAAGGCCGTGTCCATAAGTTAGTCTTGTAAGCGGATTTGAACTAACAAAGAAAACCATTCTTGAGGAAAGGTTTTGTACTAAGGAAATGTTTCAAAGCAATTTGAGAAAGGAAACACGTATCGGGGGAACTCGGAGGAAATAATGAACAGATACTTTCCTGTTGAAGGCGATAAAAAAACAAAACAGTGTAGATTACGTGCAAGCCACACATGTTTTTAATGTGTCTTATATCAGAGGTTACTTTAATGCGCATGATTTATTTCAGGAAATCCAGCGGTGGTGGTAATAGTGAGATGGGCCTGATCGTGAGACAAGGTAAGCTATTCTGACTAAGCGACTGGCTCGTATTGGAGTGTTCGCGTAATGAATTTCTCAAAGATAAAAACTTAACACTAACTGATTTCTGTGATAAGTAGACATATAACTAATCCCTGTGGTAAATAGATATAGATTTAGAGCGTTTGTTTTGCAAATTATACCAAGTGTACCCGCGCCTGAGCGCGTCCGAACCCCTTAAGTTCTTGAGATTCCATATTCTGATACTGATCCTGAACTGTCGATAGACACGGCTTTTGCAGACTCTGCATTCAAGCGGGGGGCTTCTACAGACTACTTCTACTGCCAAAGTTTGCGTAACAGTTCGCAAGAAGATAGGCAGTCCAGCGTTTTTCTCCGTAATTTGTTTGATAACCTACGATACCACGTTACATCGTTGTAAATACGTGCGACTCTATTACGCGGTGTCTTTATCTATACACTGTATCAGTCGCTCGACAAATGCAGATTTATGGAGACGGTTTACCTAATTGCATATCCTATATCGAACAAGCCCATAGTGGCTGTTCTTAAGGCAATTAGTTAAACATTAACTAGTCATAACTAAGCATTCTCTCATCTACTAGTTATCCCAGTGACTTCGCTTCCCACAAGACTGACTATGTAGCCATCGAAAGCAAGTTATCCGGGTCTCTCTTTGCTGCCCGATAATACACTTCCGAATCATTTCTTAGCGGTGTCACGTTCTAGCCTAATGTTGGCTAAAACCTATTGACAATATATATATTTAGATATACACGAATATTAGATAGAGTCTATGATCGACAGGTGGCGCTGCCGTAGCGACGGACACGTAACATCTCCTAGAGAGTATATGGCGTGCCAGTGACCCTGGCGCAACGAAGGTTGTTTATAGCCAGTACACGGCTGCTGTCGAAGCTAACGGGAACGAGCCGGCCAGGTTTGGTCCTTCGCTAACCAAAGGGACCCCACATTTCTCCAAGGCGGGTTGTTGGGTTGATACGTCGCTAATCCGTTTATCGCAACAAATAAGTACAAACCCTATTTATATTGGGAGCGTTACCGCGTACAACGGCTGGAAGAAAAGCCAACAAAGCTGTGTAGTTGGTCCGGTTTTTACTGAAGTGAGCAAAATAGCCTTCAACACACTGATCGAGGGGCAGACTTGTTTATATGAAGTGTTCATAAGATTATGAATGATAGTTTTTGTCAAACTGAAAAGAGTCACTATACAGTGCTTATAACGAGTATTTATTAGAAAGGGTTTCGATTTGATGACGTAGGTCATAAGGCAGGACTTGCTCTTATACTTAACCTTTGTTTGTAACAGCGAACATTGCTTTGTACACGAAAATGATTAAAAAAATCTGTCTATAGGTGTCCATTACTAGGACAAACTCGACACTAGCTAGCCTGTCCGAGATGGACTGCTGCAACAACCAGACGCGGAAACACAATAGCTTTAGTGTAGCTGTCTGCTGGTACCGGTAAGAAACGCGAACTCTAGACTTAATGGCGTAGATCAAAGTGACAGTACGTGCAAACGTAGCTTGGTAAGCAACGACTCACCCGAAAGCAAGTGCAACGAGTGTAGTCTATAGAGTGAAGATCAAAGCTAGTTAACTTATTTTCTACTTAATCTCTGTGTATATTAGGACAGCTTGAAACTTCTGCTATCCATAGCAGAACGCACATAGCAAGCATTTGTCTGTCATATTTATGAAACGCATAATATAAGGTTTGAAGACGATACGGTAATATTTAAGAAAAGCCTTTAGTGAAAACTAGATATTTGAGCTCAACAAGCTTTTATCGGTCATCATTTCATGGTCATCTTGTTTGTCTCAGTGTTGTGTGGTAAAGCGAGTTTTAACATGACATTGTTCATAACAGCATACTTGCGGTCGCTACGGGAATCAGCCGCAGGGATAAGCGTACTATGATATCTGTGGGTTGACGTGTGGTGCTAAATGTGACAATTACAAGAACCGCCCCTGTGAGTCTAACGGAAGGGTTGTAGGTAAGAAGCAATGTAAGAATCGAGGCGTAGCGACAAATCGTACTCGAAGGACGACACACTTGAGTCAAGGGGTTCTGTCTATTTCCGTAGCCTATAAAGGCTATTTTGAGCCCGCCCTAGTGAAATTACGACCTTTGGGTTAATTACAGTGGCCCCTCGCCACAAGCGATATCAGGTTGGAATACTAGAAAAGCACTAATAGATAGGATAGCTGAAGCGGGTTATGTTTACGATTTATAAGATCCTCACGGGCTTCAATTAGTTCCCCTTTCTGTGAAAGCCTACTACGTTCTGCCGTTCGAAACCAGCAAGGCCCGTATAGACGCTCGGGTAGCTGCTTCCCTTGAGCTTCTTTGAATTTCTTCTTCTTCCTAGAGAAATATCGATAATCCCGCTGTATGCTTCAAAAGATGACGAAATACCGGCAAAGACTCTGCTTAAGCCTTTTCCAGACCCTCAGTCGGACTAGGCGAGAGCTTAACCGATACTACCGAATGGTACGAGGTAGGAACTGGGACCGAAGGTTGTCAGGTCAGAATAACCAAACAACTTCTGGTTCTGGCAGTAATTCCGCTATAGGCATAATGCCGGTTCTGTTCGGTAGAAAAGCTCGATGCTGAGAAGGCCGAATACACTGTTTCACCTATCGTCCAACGAATTATCTACAAACGGCACCCTGATCTACGCCCCCGTTTCGAC